CAGCTCTATTCCGATGAATGTTGAAGTGGCGACGAAACAATCATAGGCGAAAACGCGGTGCTCCACCGTCCGAGGCTCCATAACAACTTGTAAAATAATGCTAGGATCTCACGAGTCAAACAGCACCCTCCCAACCTCTCTCGTAGACGGGGTCGGAGAGTACTACCCATCCCAAAAACGTCCGTCCTCTCTGCCGCACCCTGTATGATTACACCAGAAATGTTACGTGATGATTACAAGTTTCTCAACGGCAAGTAAATACGCCCCAAAGGATGCAACTTTTTCCTAATTCAAGCTGAATCTCCAATAGGTATTGAGATTCCCATGCATAGGTTGTTTATCTTGGACACCCTGTATAAATAGCACTACGTCATGTTTTAAAAATTCTAATTTTTCAATCACACAGTGGTGGTGGAACCTAATGACTCATTTTCACTAGAATCTAAGAAATTAATTCTAATTCCCTGATTGCCATATCTATTGAAATCGTCGAAATCAGTCATTCAAACAACATAGTTTTCCATTTATAGTAATCAATTTCTAAAATCCTATCTCCATTAGATGACCGGTAAAATGCTGCGATAGGTAAGAGACACTTTTATCCCCAGGACTCCAACGATGAGTCGAAATCCTCTCCGGCCCAAAGAGGAAGGTACAGTCCGAAAAATAAAGAGGATAAGCGCAGAAAAGATCGACCAGATCGAGATAGGTATATGGGAAAAGAAAAAGATGAAGATAGGAATGGCAGGAGTTCCAAGGATGACGATAGGGAGAGAGGCAGGAATAGACTGAGTGACAGCAGGGGAAGGGACAGAGACAGGCATAGGGATGAAGATAGAGGTAGATGGGACGAGAGAAGAGGCAGGTCCAGGGATAGGTCGAGAGAGAGGGAAAGGTTTGTAGCACTTATAACCAAATAATACAGTTACCAGTAGAAGGGCCACTCGCGATTCAAGCTTTGATCCTCGAACTTCTAAATATGCCGACATTTTTTCCACTTTCGAATTGTTTTTCCGATCGTATCGGATGCCCGCCATCTGTTACCTGGCTACAGTTCAGGGCCCCTTTTTTTATTTGTTTTTGTCCTGATTTATAGTCCGGGAAATATTGGTACTTTGTTGAAATTATTAATCGGTGTTCCCAATTATTGTTTCCTCTCACTCACAGGTACAGTGTAAGAGATAAATACAGCAGAGACAAACCGTTCGATAGAGATAGGAGAGACAGGGATAGAAGACGCAGTAAATCACCTCGCGATGGCGAGAGACCGAAAAGTAGGAGCAGGTCACCAAGGAGGGACAGATCCCGCTCGAACTCGAGGGAGAGAAGGCGGTTTCCATATAAGAAATTCGAACGAGGTGCGAATAGGGAGAAGTTTGAAAGAATGGGATTCGAACCCAAGAAAACTGACAGCAGCTATCCTGCGATGGCGTCTGGTGATGAACAGAAAGACAGATTTTTCGTACCTGGAATTACGGGACGCTTTAGAGAACAGATAGAGAAAAGGAAATTATTGTGGCAAAAGAAAGAGGAGGAAACGCCTAAGCAAGGGCCTAGCAAAGCGCCGGTTGCCACCAAAGTATGGGAGGCTACTACTTTTGCTCAAGACACTGATGGTAAGTCATTTGTTTAGCCCACGTGTGCAAATTCGCATTTATAATTCCTGGAATTGATGTAACATCTTAAACTTATCCTGTGGTTTTCATGCTGATAATCCATCCTCCATGTTAGTCTGGCCGCTAAATGACACGATACAGCGTAACACAAAAGTCCCGGATTTCCGATTTTTTTGGGTAAATTATTTTTGGATAAGATCCAGGTCAAGTTCTCAGTAACTTTCAGGGAATTCAACGGCGGCCTTGAAACCCAGAAACCCCTATTTTTGATACCGGAAATCGAAGGTACAAAAAATGTTACGTCCAAAGTCAGGATGACTACTATAAGTCAAATGAAGGTGAAATGTGTGCTGCTAAGAAAACCTTTGAAAATCTCACGGGATCAGTGATGAAAATAACTGTCAAGACCAGGTCTTCGGTAAATTTTAACGAGGAATTGAACGCTGGGCCTGCATTTGACCTTGACCTTCAAGGTTATTTCAAAGACAACTTTACTTTTTTATGACAATCCCTATTTTTGATGCCGGCAATCGAAAGACGCCAAATTTTACGTTCAAATAATTGAAAACCCAGGCCATGGTGACCTCTAAAGGTCAAATGTGTGGTGCTAGGAAAATCACTATGAATCTTACAGGATTAGTGGTGAAAATAAATGTCAAGGTCAGTTCTTCAGTAAATTTTTACGAGTGATCTTGGATTTGACCTTGAATGCCACCTTCAAGCTCATTTTAGGGTCATTTTTTCAAATAGATACCCGCAGAACATCGTTTGTAACGAGCGCCATAAAACAACTGGTAAGGTCAGGTCTTTAGTAAATTTTCACAAGTAGCGGTGATCTTGGATTTGAACCTGACCCTCACCTTTCAGATCATGTCAGGATCAACTCTTTTTCCAAATATAAACGCCTACTTGATGCCAACAATCCAGAGATCCGGAAATTTAATCTTCAAATGTGTATCAGAATTCAAGGTGATTGTGACCACTAGAGGTCACATAAAGGCCAAATGTGTGCTGTTAGGAAATCTCACACGAATAATGACGAAAATAACTGGCAAGGTCAGATCTTCCGGTAAGTTTTAGCGAGGGAACTACGGTGCTCGGTACAAGTGATTTTTAACCAATACTGCGGGTTTCTATTTAAAAAAAATGTCCTTGAAGGCGAAGTTCAAGGTCAAATCCAAGACCACTCGTCAACATTTATTACATACCTGACCCTAATAGTTATTTTCATCACTAATCTTGTCAGATTTATAGAGGTTTTCCTAGCAGCGCACATTCGAACTTCATTTGTCCTTTAGTAGTCATCCTGATCTTGGACTTTAAAATAGGGGTTTCTATTTCAAAAAATTAAGTTTACCGTAAATTAACCTTGAGAATGTCAAGCTCAAATTCAAGGTCACCGTTGAATTCTGTGCTGGAAGTTACTGAAGACCTGACCGTGATCTTTCCCAAAAATACCTTAACCGAGAAAAGACAGAGCCGTTTCGGGACTTTTGTGTCCCGCTGTATATGTATATGTTTGAAATACTGTTCACTCATGACGACGTTTCGGCCACAATGGTGGCATTTTTCAAGTACAATTGGAAACTCTGGCATTATACAGGGTTTGTCCGGAAAGTAATACGACTGAGTCGATTTAAAAAAATTTATTGAGCCAATCGTTACAATTCTTTAAAAACTTTCAAAATAGGCTCCTTCTGCGTAGATGCAGCGCTGCCAGCGCGATTTCCAAGCATTGAAGGCGTCACGGAAGGCATTCTCCGGAATAGCCTTGAGAGCCGCGGTGCATGCTGCTTGGATCCCCTCTGTCGTCTCAAAATGCAACTTCCAGTCGGCTGCGATGTCTTGTCGGACCCGACTGACCCTTCGTTTGAGTCTCCTGAGCACTTCCACGTAAAACTCGGCGTTGACGGTTTGTCAGGGAGGAACAAATTCATGGTGGACGATGCCTTTGATGTCAAAAAAGACAATGAGCATCGTTTTCACTTTGGATTTGCTCATTCTTCTTTTTTTGGGCGAGGAGACGCCGTCGTGTGCCACTCGGAAGATTGCCTCTTTGTCTCGGGATCATACTCAAAGATCCACGACTCGTCACCTGTGATTACGTTATTCAAAAATTGGGGGCCACTTTCACACATGTTCAAATTTTCTTGGCACACTTCCACTCGCCGCAATTTCTGGTCGTCAGTGAGCACTTTTGGGACCATCTTCGCGCACACCTTGCGCATGTTCAAATGCTGTGTCACAATGTCATGAACCACAGATTTTGGTAAATTTAACATCTGGGCAATTAAACGAATACTTAATCGACGGTCTGAGTTTAAAACTTTGCGCACACGAGTCACATTATCGGTGTTTGTCGAAGTCGAAGGTCTTCCAGCACGGTCTTCATCAGTGACCTCTTCCCGTCCCTCCAAAAAGGCCTGGTTCCACCGAAACACAGCACTTCTTGCTAAAGCAACACCTGGGTAAGCCTGCTTGATCATATCAAACGTCTCTGTCGCAGATTTACCGAGTTTCACACAGAATTTAACCGCGTACCTCTGCTCTAACGAACTGTGCATTTTCGGCTTGCACCACTCACAGCAACACGTCGCGCGAAAATGCCTGTCCTGACTCTCCAAGTGCTCGGAGACAACTGACCAGCCGCTCATTCGTTAGCTAGGAACGCCCTCTACCGAATCCTGTCGATGCGCGCACGCTCCGAAGTACAGTCATGGCGGAAGAAAATGAGTCCTATTACTTTCCGGACAAACCCTTTATTTTGTGTATCTGACTTCCACGGTCCTCACAGACGCCGCCAGGCAGCTTGTGCGCCGGTGTTCGCGTAAAAGCAGAGATCGGCAATTAAGCTCTGGCGAGTAGGAGACTCGCCCAACAGATGGCGCTATTTGTCACAATACAGTAGTCTTAACGGTCCTGTAACATTGAGATAGCCGTTAGGCCTGACAACAGACGCGTGACGTCACCACGAGAATTTATCTATTTGTATATCACCATAGCGAGACTTCAATGACATTAGGCTTTGAGTTCCTAACTTTTTCTCAGATTCATATAACTGACTATGCATTCTCAGAAAGAACATGCAGAACATCATCCAAGTGGTGTATATTAGATAATAAAAATGGAGTTTTAATATTACCTGAGTTGAGTAACAATTCTTAGGAGTACATACACGTTTTTACATTGATATTGTTATTACGGAGTGAGTTATGATGGGTGCTGGTTTATATTCTAACTTAAACAAAGTAACATTATCCTGAACAATTTTATGCCACCCATATGGACATTGCCATGAACTGAAAACTGTGAGAAAGTCTGAATAATTTTGAAAACAAGTTGATTTTTGATAGGAGAAATAATCATCAATGTTAGTTTGCAGTGCTTTAAGTAGTTGTTCTTGTGCCTTGTCCCTCAATTTCTCATATCGGCTTCTTCTGCTTGATATGTCCTTTGAAAGGTATTTTGGACAATTTGCAAAGATACTTGGAATTGCATCTGCCCTTAACTTTGGATACTTAAGGGGTACAGTAATGGTCCTACCTGCCTTTTCGTCATGGAAGGTGGATTCCCAAATGATGCTGTCCTCAGCAAAGTGCAAATTACATACTCGGGTGTATTTTGTAGCCACTAAATCACTACGAGGGATTGCATTGAGCCATCCTTTACGACAGTTTTCGTTCAATGGAAACGAAAATACGTGTACCTTCGGACCCTTCCCGTAGTTACCGACACAATTAGGAACGCAGCACTTGTAAGGCATTTTATAAACTTAGCTAAACAATCACGAGACACAAATATAAGTTTAGAACATCAATAATGTTCAGTTTACATAGCATAGAAAGATGAGGCTCAGAATGTGAGGTTAGTTGGCAAGGTTGCCACATATTCCAATTTTGAATGGAATATCAGACTTCACAGATTGAACGTAATATCGAAAATGTATTCTTGACATACTGAGGCAGATCAGAAAGAATAATCACATCATCACTGAAGCTGCGCAGGCCCCGAGTACATCTTGCAAATTCGCCCACAGAGAGGTACAACTAATTAGTACGGATTTCGATACTGCTATATCAAACCTATGACAACACCCCAGAGAAAAGGTAGCGCGGTTCTCTTGCCATCCAGTCATCGCGAAACTCCATAAGAACATGCATAGGCCTACTCTGTGTGACGTCACAGGCTTTTCAGAGCCCAGTTGTAGCGCGTTAGGTCACAGTTCGAGTTCTGTCAGTCAAGGCATTGCTTAACGATGCGTTTTTGTTTCAGGGTGTTTTTTCTTCTTTAACCTTTTTTTCATATGAATTAAAGTAAAAAAAAACGTTACAAATTTATTGGTTAATATGACATTGCCGTGTGAATTAGTTTCAGATATTATTGGTCTATTATTTCAAGAAAATTTTATTTCAGGAAAAGTCGCAAACAAATTCAAACGACTTATGGGGATGAAGGATGTAGGCGAAGGCAGTAAGCCCGCCACTGATGTATTGAAGAAGCAAGAAGAAATGTTCAGTTCTATGGAACAGCAGTATGAAGTTGCCAGGACGGCGACCCATACGATGCGGGGCGTAGGCTTAGGATTTGGAAGTTACCAGAGATAATTTAAGACCTACTATTAATGAACTTATGAATGTCTTTTTGTATTGTCGCTTTGAAATAATATTTCTTTCATCTTTCACCTGACTTGTATATAATGGCAATAGGTGATCGAGTTGAATTTTACTATGGTGGCTAATAAAGCATTAAGTAGTATTATTGTTTAAATTTTGGGTTTTGTTTGCAGTCAAACGCATATCTAAATTAAATCATTGATCAGACCACAGTGATTGCAAGAAATGCTATCCTTGCTATAGATATACGAGTTAAATTAATTCATAGATATAAAAAAATGGCATCAAGTAAGTTGACTGTACTTCCCATTCTACGCTGTCATCAGTTCGTAAAAACTACGTACTCAGAAGATGTAAACCAGCGGCGATCGTGGTCTGTTCACATGGTTCGCGATTCAGTTAACTGCTTGAAAGTTGTGGAGTTTTGGGTTCAGATTTTAGTGAGATGTTAGCAATAAGGTTGAGAAATTAACATGAACAGATGAAAAATCGGAAGAAAAAGCTTGATTGGGTCAGAAATTGGATACGTTCAAGGAGAAACAAAGGACCACAATTTGTCAGGTGGTGCACTGAGGAACAAGTACCAAATTTGATTTTGTTGTACGTTGCTGTGCAAATGGATGAATGAAGGAGTTCATGGAATTGAACCAAATGATTTTTGGAACATGTCAGCTTCTGACCTTTCAGTCTCAGCTATCTTCTCAAACTCCGGACAGTATACATTTCTCAAATTCTTGAGTTTCGCGATTACTTCTTTAGGTCCAAATCCAGAGAATCCCATAGCTTCGCTGATTCTTACAGCTGCTGCCAGTCTCAAATCTCTGTCCTCGTACTCTTTACAACTTGAATCGTTCGTACAACACCCATTCACCAGCATACAATACGATAAACTTGACAGTTTTGCTATCTTACAGCTTTAGTACACGAGATCCTGATGGCGCAGACATATTTAAGCCTCGTTCCCACGGGGCGTGCCACGCTAGCGTGGGTCTTGCACATCGACTTTTTGCATAAAATTAATTAATTAAGTAATGGGAATGATTGACGATTGCAGAACCGCAGGACGGAGATTTGAATCTACGAAGCTCCTTTTTTCTCTTTCTCTTTTTTTTTAATTTGGGGAAGTAATTGCTTTTTCGCATGGTGTGTACTTTTATTATACATATTTGAAAGCTTCTTTAATGCATAACAAGTTAATTAACTCAAGTTAGCGGTGAAACACAATGTACATAAAATACGGAAAAAAAGATAAGCAGCATTATGGTTGCTGTGGTTAATACATACCGAATGACAATGAATCTCATATACGAGGCACGTCCAGAAAGTAAGTGTACTCAATTTATGTAGGGTTCAAAAAAAATTTACTAAAACCATAATATACTTGGTTACACTTGTACATATGTAAGTTATTTTTCGACATAGTCACCATCCCTCTCGATGCAAGTGGTGAGCCGCGGGATCAATTTTTTGATGCCGGCCTCGAAGAAGTCTCCCGCCAGCTCTTTCGCCCACTTCTCCACCTCCCCCTTCACCTCCTCGTCCGTTGAAAACTTGTTTCCACCCATGTGCCCCTTTAGGGAAGTGAAGAGATGGAAATCTGAAGGAGCCAGGTCAGGGGAATACGGGGGGTGATTCAGAACGTCCCATCCAAAAGAGTCCAGGAGTTGCTTCGTGGCGTTGGCCGTGTGGGGTCTGGCATTGTCGTGCAACAGGCAGACTCCCTTCGTCAGCATGCCCCTCCTTTTATTCTGAATCGCCCTTTTCAATTTTTTTTAGCGTCTCACCGGAGCTTTTCCCTTCACAACGAGGTAGCGAATGACGGCGCGAATTTCGCACTTGGCGGGAGATACGATCGACATTTTTCGCGAGAGATGTTACTGCGTCAAGAGTTTTCAACACACTAACCTCAGATTGGTCTCTTTTTGAAGGGGAGGGGTCAGGCTACGCGGCAGTGTTGCCAACATGTCGAAAAAGTATTCTCTACAGCTGTGAGAATACCAGGTACACTTACTTTCTGGACGTGCCTCGTAGTTTCATTCTATGCACAACAATACAAATTTCAGATGCAAAAAAGAGTTGTCACACTTTAGCTCAGTTAATTTTATAAGCGTCCTCTGCGGCTCCAAGAGGTACCTAATTTGACCGCGTTTGAAAACTTGACCGTATGATTACAAGCAAAATTTCGGATGTCTTTCATTATTGTTGGTGAATAATTTACACTTTTAAGATATTTATATTCAAAAATTATCTGCTACGATCGACATGTTTCTGAAATTTTAATATATAAAAAAAATTATAAACTATCATACGTTACCACTGGTTTCCTGTTCGCAAGCTTATGTCTATGGCGTGCGAAAAACTGTTTAATCGCAACAAAAGTACACATAATGTGAAAAAGCGTATATTACTAAAAATTAGGAAAAAAAATAATACGTTGGTGGCATACCAAATCTGATATAAACAATTACAGTAAGTACCCTTGATAACTATACAAGAAACAATGCTGAATCTTTAAATAATGCATTAGGGACTAATAATAATAATGTTTATTGTCACAAAATACAAGTAAATATCAAATATTGTGCACAATAAACATAAAGCACCCAAAAAATGTTTGCACTTGTGTTTGGGTTTGTACAAAATAAAAACTAATAGTACAGTCAGTGTATGAAAAAAAAAAGAAAAAACCCGTTAATACTGTATAATTTGGTGAATTATTATGGTAATGTTAGGAAAAATATCCAGACAATTAGAACTGAAGTAAAAGTATGGATGTTAGTAGTAAAATCCATTTTTTTAGTTGTTTTTTAAATGATTTATTTGATTTAATTACTTTTAATGACTCCGGTATGAAGTTATAGAATTTTGGTCCCAAGAAAAACAGAGATCGTTGTGTAATGGTTTTTGATGTTTGTGGAATAATAATAACGAGCATTTTGACTAATTTTCAAGACTGTTAGTTCGCTACAATTGGTTGATATTTCTCTGCTGTTTTAGGTGACCTTTTTATTTGACAAAGGCATGCAGTCATCAATAATGCAGCCATTTAGCACACGCCACGTACTAACTAGTCTAAGACAGTTTGAAACATAATTGTGTCTTCAGTTTGCGTGCTAACTTTATAAACATTTCAGTATGGAATATCTTTTTTTATAAAATTTAGGGCTCATCTGTGACCATGTCAAAATTTCAGCTCTAAATATGTATACACACAAGAAATCTTTCTTTGTAACAAAAGGTGATTACCCATCCGCTTTGCTTTAAAATGTGTATAATAAAGTGTTTTACGAATATCGTAGCGAATCTGTTCAGTTACTCACATAGGCAGCAGCGGGGGCCGCAGTAGTAGACTCTTCGGTCTCCTGATCGGTCGCCGTGCGCTGTGCGGGTTCGAGTCCCGTCCCAGGAGAAATTTTTCTCTTGGCTATGGATGTTGTGATTGTCCGTAGGTGGTAGATGGTCTTTGACTGTCGAACGCGGAGGTACCACCCGGCGGTTCTCGTAGGCGGAGCCAGAATGTGTGCATGTTGCATGCACACGTGTTCCCTCGCCAGAGTCCGTGTGGCGTCCCCCCTTTTCCATGTATCCCCCTATAGCCCCACGGTACCCAATGGGTGCTTAGGCCTTAGGCCTTCGTGGTAGTTGGAGTTAAAAAAAAATACACGAAATGTTTGAGTTTGCTTAGAAGAAAAAAGCGCAACCCTTCGTTTTTAGCAAAAAAATAAATAACAATCATCTTTCGGAATGATTTGTGATTCACGTCGACAAGGTAAATTCGTGTATATAAAATGCCGTTTGAACAATTCCTGTATATTGTTCAGTAAACTAGTAGTGATTGCCGGAAGACAGTTGTTTTGCGATAAACAATTAGAAATTCTCAAAAACTATTCGACCAATTTTGTTGTGGTTATTTAGATGTATGAAGCTTACGGATTCCAAGAATTTCAAGTAGCTGCGTGAAATTATCGTCGATTTAGCAAGTGCCAAAACCTGCATTTTGCCTCGATGTTTGGTCACTTTTTTACTATTAGTGGTATATTTTTACGTGTTGTCTCATAAATACATAAAAATCTTATTTGAAGAGGTTTTTCGTCCCTGCCAACACTGTCGGTCGAATCCAAAAAACGGGTTTTCTCATTCTTTGTCAAATAAAAAGTTTTCTCACAAAGATTGGTGTACCCATTTTATGCGTCCATGTTTTAAATACCCCTTGAACAACTTGCAGCAATTTACGATTATTTCGCAAACCAGGGGTATTTTCGTCTAATATGATTATACTAACAGTAATTTACTTCAGTACTTACAAACTGTCTTAGTTCTCCACAGTTTTGGCGACAAACAGTGCAATGTAAACATATACAGGGTGACTTTGAAGTTG